ATCTTTAAACCAGATAATAAAAGATCATACTTTTGCTCTTTACTAAGATTTAAAAATTCTTAAAAAATTCTTTTTATTTTAGCTTTCAATTAAGGATTTAATTTTTATTTTTGAAACTTTTAAGCATGCAACTTTGTAAAAGAAAATTTTTTAAAAAATGAAATGATAACATTCTTAAATTACATTAAAAGTCCTATAATAACTCTTTTAATTATTACAATAATAAACCAAGCATTGATTGTGATTATAATTATAATAGAGGTGATTACATAATAATTGAAGGGATTGTTGCTAATGAATAAACAAAATAATACAGAAACTGCACACACGTTTGTTTGATAGAAATCAACTGTATTGTACCCGCTCAAACGATATGGTTATAAAACACTAGATGCTATCCCATAGAGAGAAACTACTATAAAAATTAGCACTCCTTTAACATTAATATCTTAGGAATAGAAATTAAGAACAATAATGATTAAAATTTTTTCTAACATTTTCACGAATTCCCAATAATATTTTTGGATTTTATACTCTTTGTATAAAAAACCATATTTCTTATATATTTAAATGTTTTGCAAGTCATTTTTATTTCTGTATAGTATATAAAAAAGTCCAATAGGTATAATAAAAGCAAACACTAATAAGCAAGGAGCCACTAAGGTAGAACTATATCTCTAATGCTGATTAGTGTTACATTCATAAGTTACATTATAAAGTATATAACTAGAATCTCCAATTACTCTGCATGAAAGAATAGCTATCATTTGAGATACTAAATCGGGCTAAACTAAAATAAATATAAAGATCGCAGCAGTACACATAGAATAGTAACGAACTTTTATATTTGTAAATACCCTTTATAAAATTAAACTAAGTACAAACACCATTAAATAGCCAATTGGAACAATTATAGTAAATAATAGTTTAAGATATATCATTGGTATATCTGTTTTTATATCTTTTAATATACATTCGGCAGAATTCATTTATTATCTTACAGGT